TAGAAAACCTCATCTTTTACTCAAGGAGCTGTTGCTGGTTTCGAACTGCTGACCTTGTGGTTACCAGTGGAACACATAATCATTTTGCCACACTTGGTTTCTCGTTAAAAAAATACCCCAAAACACACACACATATAACATATATTATACATACTCTATAATACTAGGTATCATACTAATCTATAATATACTAGTATATTATAGACTATACATTATATATGCCATATATATATACTAAATATATACTATATATATATATTTTATAGTAGAAATCAGAGTAGGCCCCAGACCTAAAAAGTCAACTCTACCTGCACTATAAAATGTCATGAATGTATTTAAAAAGTGATAAAATCTTTCAACCCAAAATAAGAGAGAGCATTTAAACTGCAGAAGACTGCAGTGTTACACTGACATGAACAAGTAAATGTAGCATCACACGTACCCTCAGGCAGTGATCGTCAATGTGGGATGAGCACAAGGGGTGAAGTGGGGTGGGAAGGTGGTATACAACAACCCACTGAAATGCAGCAAGGCCAAGGGAGATCTTTCTTTCACTGATCCTTTCAAATGTCTCAAATGATTTTGTGCACACTTTTATTATGTAAAAGTACAACAATATATTAGTATATTCCCCAAATAAAATAAATGTACTTCTGTAGTAGATATGTTCAAATATTTTAGTGGGGTGTGTGATAGAAAATATTCGGAAAGCATTGCCGTAGGGATGCTCTTAGGTCTCCTCTATAAGCGGCTCTGATTAGGCAGTAAGAGGAGAGAAGGGTAACATTCCGGAGCAGAAACAGACAGCAGAAAGGGGTTGAATCACCTAAAACTCACCTGTGGTCCAGTTTTTCCTTGCTTATGGGAACTGCAATGTGACTTCTATTTGAAACAGGTAAGATTAACTCCAAACTGAGCGATATTTGAGTCTATCACTTTAGTGGCACATGGAGCTATATAGGAAATTCATTCATTCACATTCAATAGTCACTGAGCAGGCAAGATTCTTTGTATGGCAATACAATGGTGAAAAAGACAAGGTCCTTACTCTGATTCTAGTGGACAGGGAAGATGAAAGTATATGAAAGAAAATAAATGTGAGCTATCCTAAATATCACTGACATCACACACACAACTAAAATTTTGCTGAAGATCATCCAATATTAGTTGCAGCGGTACAGTGACATGGAGAGATTCAGGCTGGACTCAGAAGAGGATGTGGAACAAGGGATATCACTGCTGGTGTCAAATGAATCTTAACTGAAAGCAAAGAATACCTGAAAGATGTTTACTTTTGTTTTATTAACTATGCCAAGGCATTAGACTATGTGGATCATAATAAACGATGGATAACCTTGAGAAGAATGGGAATTCTAGAACACTTCATTGCGCCCATGCAGAACTTGTACACGGATGAAGAGGCAGTTGTGCAAGTGAAACAAAGGAATACTTTAAATTCAGAAAAGGTATGTGACACAGATTTATCCTCCCACCCTACTTATTCAGTCTGTATTCTGAGCAAGCCAGCCACCAGAGAAGCTGGCTTTCATGAAGAAGAGAGTGGCACCAGGATTGGAGGAAGGCTTATTAACAACCTGGAGCACGCGGATGACACAACCTTGCTTGCTGAAAGTGAAGAGCACTTGAAGCACTTGCTGATGAAAGTCAAGGATTACAGCCTGCACTGTGGATTACAACTTAATGGAAAGAAGACCCAAATCCTCACAACTGGACCAATAGGTAACAGCTTGATAAATGGAGAAAAAGTTGAAGTTGTCAAGAATTTGTATTTGCTTGGATCCAGAATCAGTGTTCATGGCAAAAGCAGTCAGGAGCTCAAAAGGCATGTTGCATTGGATAAATCCAGTACACAAGACCTCCTCAGAGTTCAGATGTGCCTAACCCCAACATCATATTTTCAATGGCCTCAAATGCATGTGGAAGTCAGACACTGAGTACAGAAGACCTAAGGAGAACGGCTGCATTTAACTCTTGGTGGCAGCGAAGAATATTCAAAGTACCATGGATTACTGACAGGACAAACCTATCTGTCTTGGAAGAAGTACAGCCTGAGTGTTCCTTAGAAGTGAGGATGGCAAGACTTCATCTTACATACTTTGGACATATTGTGAGGAGAGACCAGTTCCTGGAGAAGGACATCACATTTCTTTCTTTTTTTAAATTTTATTTTAAAAATCCTTTTATTAGGGGATCATACAACTCTTATCACAATCCATACATACATCAATTGTGTCCAGCACATTTGTACATATGTTGCCATCATCATTCTCAAAACACCTGCTTTCTACTTGAGCCCTTGGCATCTGCTCCT